ACTGCCAAGTGCAGATTCCTTATGTCAGCCTCCTTCCCCGGACCTGGAAGTCCCGCCATTTCCGGGCGACGTCTAATGATGCTGCATTACATCGTCGCGGCCATACCATCAGATGCTCGTACCTCAACAGTCCTTCCCATGTCCTCCGCGCGAGATCTATTCCTCGTATCGCGGAGCATCGGCGTTATCAGGCGGAGACGGGAAGCGATAGCGCGACACACTGCTTCAGATCTCTCTACTTTTGCCCCTCTTGGACATTCGTCTTGGCTTTCCTCTGAAAGGCCAAGCACGAGCCGTCTTGAAGCATAACGAGCTCTATGGAAGGCTCTTCATCTTCTTCTCATTTGCTTTTCATGAGTCGTTATATATTTTGTAGATATTTGCGATTCAAATACAGATAGCTCTTCGACCGCCGTGGATCCAGCCGGCTTGAGTGTTCGACCAGGAAAGTGCCTCCTTTTTTGGGGCGACCTTGTCCACGGGAATTCTTCAGGAGATGAAGCGCTTGTCTCTAGCGAGCCTTTCTGCGATGAGCCTGTCCTCGTATCAGGACAAGAGTGTCTTTCGCAACGAATGTTTCTCAAGCTCGATTCAGAGTCGTCACACCATCCTTTCGTACGCGTTCACAATCGCCAAGAACTCAAAAACGCCTATGAAAGGCTAGCCCGCTTCTCACGTAATCAGTCAAATAGAATTATGTTCGGAAAACGCCAAGCAGAATTTTTGGGGTCAAGTTAAAATCAGCACAATCACCTGTGTGGAAGTGCGTAGATCATTCATTCCTGATCTCCTCTCCGTATACGAGCCTGCCCTAAAAGTCTTGCGTGCGGTGGAGTGTGTCCAATCAACTCTGAGTCGCTCGTACACGTGTTGGCGGCCTGCTGTTCCCAACATTGCTGTCTAGGATACGACCTCAAGCATTTCGGTTCAAATCAGTCAGGATGTGTTCACGGCCGACATCGCCTTCATTGCGCGAGTGGTCGCGTCGTCGCCTCGGGGATAATAATGATCATACTTCATGGAAGAGTCAAGGAATGCATCGATGTTCAGAGGCTGGATGTACAGTTTATTAATGATTTCCAAAATAACTTATACAGAGATGGTAGGTGTCTGGAGTGCGCTTGTCGTCACAATGTTTCCAATGAGCATATTCAGAGCGGTCGTGAAATGAATTCTTGATATACAGATCATCGAGATGGTTTTATTGTCGCTTCGTTTCGAGCATCGACAATAGCAGGACATCAGAACTATCCTCGTTGTCGAGATTTTTCTTATGCCGAGTAATGTTGCGTAGACGGCGTAAGTGACCGTGAGATTCCCCGAGCAAATGATAAAAAAATATAAATGGTGAGGAGTGCTTCGGAATTCCGCAATAGTATCCCGCGATCACTACTCGACGTATGGAACAGAGAATCGTCGTGTCAGCGACAATGATGTATCCTGGTGACAGCACCCATGGCGAATCGGGCGGTACAGCGGAGCTCAACTCATTTCCTTGATTTTCAGAATCACGGACTTCAAAGGCTCGGTTTTCCAGGTGGGCCATCTGTGCCAACGAAGACTCTTATGAGGTATCAACCTTCTCCCCCTGTATTCTGATACCATTAAGTCCAGCAAAGATCTCCTCAAGAGATTCGAAGGAAACAGGGGATATCGTACCTGATGCCATTCTTGGAGTTGGCGGTCTCCGGCGTGGCGTATTCGCCTGTCAATAGGACCGAATAACAGGAATGCCACCAATGACCTGCCTTGTGATCGTGAGGGCATTGATGACTGTTCGGAGAACCGACGACGCGATCTTTGGTCAAGAATTGTTTGTCGTTGTGTCGACGGAAGGCGTTACCGACTCTGAAATGACAATCGGTTGACAAGGAGGCTTCAATCGATATCACTCGATCCAACTCGATTGTAACCCTCATCGAGGTTCGCGTCGATTCCGATTTAGCTTTTTGAGGGAAGTAATTGTACCTCATATTATTTCCAAGGTAGTTGCCGACTCTCATCCGATAGCTGTCATTCTCCGGGCCCACGGAGAAATTTGCGTAATCCAGCGTGAGTTTCTCCCCAGAGAACGCTTCCAACTCAATCCTGAGCAGCTTCGGCTTCTCCGTCAGGATATGCATGTACTCGTTCCCTATGTAGAATTCTTCAGCGATATTTCCTACGGAGGAAGACTCGGTCGAATCTTGAGCTCGAGAGCATTATATACGGATTCCTCTTGACAAACCCCTTGTACTCCGGAGAGAAGATCAATTACCGAATCCGTGCTTGTAGGATGACCAGGTGCGATCGAATGAGAGCGGTTTTCCCTTGCCTCTTCTCAGAAGGAGGGTCCACCCGCCTCCGGACATATCGCAAACGACCTGCAATAATGAGAGAAGTCAAGAACTCGTTGATACTGAATAGGAGTCTTTCGGAAAATCAGACTCAGAAAGTTGATCATAGGTGCGTGATCTCCTCTTGCGAGAAACGAGTCGTTGAGAAAGGGAATGGGTACCTTCATAGGTTTCTTGCCGTTGGAATCGTATACCATGTACGGTCCGTCACAATTGGCTCCAGCTGCGGGAAGAGAGACATATTATGTTGTGTTGTAGAGTGTAATCCATCGAAACCCGGTCCTTGCTGCTCGAACCGATGCATGGGTGTGAGCAAATCTCCTATTGAGAGCCCAATCCGACTTACCCTGACCCAACTGATCGCAATTATGAGGAACTTTGATTGCCGCGGTCATTTTACAATCGTCTCGTTTAGGCCCAACGTAGAACGCGAGTTCCGACACGGTCGCTGTGACATTCTGGGAGGCGAGACTTCTCGAGTTGTCTGCAGGGTTCTGGAAGAAGAATTCGAAATCGAAGATTGCGGGCATTTTCAACGCCACACTCGAAGAGAATATTGTGCTTCGCGGTGGCAGAAGTTTCTCTCGGATACGCACTGGTGCAGCCTTGGTCAGGACGGGAGCATTCACGATCGCCCTCGTGCACCGGTTGATCTCTTCTTTAACAACCTCCAATACCTGGAAGGGATGATTCATTCTTATCGAGGATCGATCATCGGCGTACTAGAGAGTAGACTCAGGTTGCCCTATCCGGACTTGACAGATGAGGCTCAGTAATTGTTGTTTTCCTTGAGGAGAATCTCGGGGTCGCGACCAGGGGCGGTCGACATTCATGATCCCTCACTCACCTTGTCGGTGTCGACGATCTTGGGATTATTTTCTCCGATACGTTGGACGTCTTCATTGTGGACCATGTTCTCGGAAATATCTGGGATGAGGAAGGGACATGATTATGATTTCATTCGCGCAACTTCTTTCTCGAGAGCGAGATCTCAGCCGCTGCAGCTCATAATATGACCAGGACGTCGTCAAGAAACCATCCCAGCCAAGCGTCAGCGATGATCGAACGCTCGGTGTCGGCCGATCTGAATCTTTAAGAATCCCGTTCCGCAAATTGAGGCATCGAGAGAGGGTCTCCTGACCCGTCATGGTGCTAGATGTCTGAACCAGAGGAAGAGCGAGACCGAAAGCAAAAAGTATTTCTCATCCTCAGTGGACTGATGAATATCCATTTGGAGACCCCAACGAGGAACGAGATCCATCCTCTGGAAGACTCGAGCGAAAGCCCAAGAGATGATTCGTTTCGAGGCTGACTCCTCGACTTGACATGTGCGCGACAAGCTGAAGGTCTAGCTGCTCATCTGTAAAACTCATCTTTTTGAAAGCGTATAGCGTTTTCGAACAGACTCACAGTTGACCTTTTCGTGTCCCATCCGCGTGTACAGGTTGACTTCCTCGATTGAGTTGACGAGTTTACTCTGTAGAACATCGAGCTTTTCTCTGAATTCTCGGCTGAGCGAATCTAGCGAGTCCTGGAATAAAACCTACTCAGTGCCACACTCATTCCGACTGAGCTCCTCTAGACTTTTCTCGGAAATTCATGCCAGACTAACTGGAATTTCTATTCTACAAAGTAGGCTGTTGTATGTCGAATTTCCGCGAATGCTCTCTACCTGAATCAGCAGTGTCTGCTGCTGGTCGGAGGCAGGTCGGTGAACTCCGGGAGCAGGACCAGACGAGCTCTTGCCTTTAGCATCAGAGTGAATTCGCTCATAGACGGTGTTCACGGCTGAAGAAAGTGGAATCGAATGAGCCCTTCGTCTTTCGGATTCCGCGGTGGAAGGGTTGGCGCTCACGGTGTAGCGGGGAATCACACCTCTCGTAGATATCAAAGGCCCGAACGCAACCGTGGTGGTTGCGGTAGAGACGCACTCACTGTTTAGAATCTTTTTGAGGATATCAGTGAAAATCTTCTCCTGCTCTTCGCGTTTGTTTTCCACTGAGACGACAACGTCGAGCTTTTCGTCGAGTCGGCGATGCAGCGACGATACGGAGCTCTCGAGGCTCCGGAGGCGATTATCCATGACATCTAAACAAATTACTCGTACGTTATACTTGTGAGATGGATGGACAGGCACCTCCTTGTCCGATGTATCAAAGGAGTCGACACCAATTTCTTCCTTGGAAAAGCCAAATCCGTGGACTAAAGTTTTCTCGGAATCACGTCTTTGCGTTGACGACAGCCATTCATTCGGTGAATTTCAGAGGGGATTCGGGGACGTCTCGAAGGAAAGCAAATTAGGGACTTCTTCTCAGATACAGTGGATCTTGGAAGTGGAATCACTCCTCAACTACGTAGGTACACGGATTCATTATCGCCTACGATTTACAATCAATGACGACTCGGAATTGAAATCTCCACAAGCGATGCATTCCTCCCCGGCTCGCACAGCACCCATTCCCTGCCAAATAGCTTACGCAGGCTTCCAATTTCAAATCAAAGTCTGCTTCCATAAGCTTAGCGTAAATGATGATGATAGTTGCGCTTAAGTATCTAGGTTTAGCGGAGTCATTCGAAGGGATTTGTTTTCGTTCCGATATTCCAGGCTGCCCCCGATGCGAGCCGAGAATCTGGGTTTCGGACGACGCGCGACGGTACGAACTCTGGTCGGGAAACCCCCGTCTGACCGAGAGTCGAGGAACGGTTTTGATCGTCCGCCCACGAGTTTAGAGGCCTCCACTCGCCCCTGGCATGAAATGTTGTATGGGCTGCGCGAATTCCAAGGGGTGTGTCCGCAAAAATAAAAGATCGTTCCCAGATAGATATACCTTCGTCTCGAGGGATCTGGTTTCGACGAGCATTCTCCCGCCGTTCATCGAGCAGGTGCTCCAAAACGACCGCTGTCGAAAAACAGAGAGAACATTTCCAAGACGTGTCGGCAAACCATCAAAAGGTCGCATGTCTCTCGGCGAAAACTCGGCGAATATTTCTAGTCGAGTAGAGATCGTCGCAAGCCCATGACGTATCGAGAATTTCCGATGATATCGACAAGCCAGAGCAGTATGCATTCGGCCGCGAGAGAGGCTTCGTCACGGATCTCGATCGAAATAACGCAGATTTTTTTTCCGCTTCTACACTGTCTCTCTCTGACAATGTCTGTCCCTGCCGTGGCTCCCATCAATACATGATTCATTCACGTGACGCATCAACTTGGGTTTTGAGCAGTTCACTTAAGAACCTCCGCATGCCGAAACCCTTGTCCTTCTAGTTCTACATGTGTTGATGCTCGGTTCGCAGAGCATATGTTTCCGTTTAAGGGAAACAACTCAGTCTTCTAGAGACGCTCGCTACTCATTTGACCGAGCGAGAGGGATTCCTCCTAGAATCCGCCAGCTCTCACAGGCAACCTCTTTGGGAATCACATCGATTTCGAGGGGGAGTAGTGAATTGCTGTACGGATCATGAGAGCAGCAAGATCGGAGTTTGCGTTCGGAAAAATATCCACGTACGAATCGGCTTATTCCCGATTCAATCAGCGACGACATGAATATGATGTCTTCTCTCTCCAATACAGGAAGGATCTTGGACTCTTTTTAGGTAGATTCACCCTTCGCGTCATGCCACCGTTTTATTCGAAGAATCTTCGTCATTTGGATATCGCGATAAGATGCTATCGGGCGCAGCAGTTGGAACCCAAACCAGGAAGGAGACTAGAGAGGTTTCGCTACTCATATCCTGTAGCTAGCGATTATTAGCGAGAAAATCCGAAAATACAAAATCACATCGGTCGAGCCGCAGCCGATGCACCATACCATCGCGTTTCGGGCGGGAGTATCTGAGAATATTATGAAGATGCTTTCGGGCTGCGTCATATCTCCCGACGAAATTCGTGATTTTATCCTCACATTGGCCAGGATCATAAAAAGGAAGATCCGGAAAGAGCGGAACACTTCTGAGGGAGCACCCTCCAAAACAGCAAGAGCCTCGAATCCGACCTTGGACTTACGAACTTCGAACCCGCGGTGTACTGAACCGAGCGGTGACAATCCTGGGGCTCATTCAATGGTGGGATGATTTTTCGGATATTCGTGATTATTCTTTTGGCTCGAGACGATCTATGGACCAATGTAACTTAGCGGGGTCCCCCGATCGCTCCATGAAGCGAGGATCTCTCCACGGAGGCTTACCATTTTTCGGTGCGACGTGGGTCTGATGAGACGGAGGTGCGTGCGCCTTGAGGTCGTTGGAGAGCTTCTCTACTTTCTCCTCAATTCTCTCCATCACAATCATCATCTGAACCATACTCTGAGCAGTAGATTGAACGACTTCGATGATCTCGTCTCGGGCTTCCAGGACGGAATCAGTTCTCGCACACTCGGGAGCCGCGGTCGAAGCCGCAGCTCCGAGCAGCAGCACCAGAGAACAAACGCGGTACATGACACTCTTTCACTGAGCGATTTGTGACGGATAGAAATGACACTTCTAACGGTCCCCTACAGGGGTTGATTCGGAGTGGCGGAGGAGACCAGGAGTGCGGCCGGGTTGACTCAAATGAGAGAGGATGCTAGAGGCCTTCCCAGATTCGGCGTGCTATCGAAGAGAGAGATTTTCACTGGCACTGACCGAGCAAGGGACTTCGGGTTTGACAGAGGGGGGAACTGATGTTCAGCAACTGTACGACCTACAAAAAAAGGTTTTACTCGAATTAGGCTGAAACTCTAGATCGTTGCTGATCCACGCTTCAAGTCGAGGGAAATGGACCGATACAGGATGGAGATCGCCGGTGCTGATCCGTCTAAAGTCTCCGAATTCGGCGTTTACGCTCGAAATCACCGCGAGTATGATTGGCAGATCGCTCTGCGAAATAGCCCCTCGCGCAGCGGATTTCTAAATTTTGATTCCGGTACTCTGAGAAACTATTCGACAGCTTTCTCGAAATTATGCTCGAGCGGGTCTGCTCGGGTGCCGCGTCGTGTCTGAAGCATGAGGTATGCTTTCCAAAGGATGCCGCGCCGGGGAAAATTGATTTTTATCTCCAATAAGAAGACTTGAGAGTCTGGCGGGTCTAAGGCCTCCGTTGACGACGGGCCTCACTCGGGGTAGATCCGAGATAAGAGATACGAAACGGAGAGGAAAAATGCGCGGAAAGTGACGCTCTGAGCGATGAAGCGAGCCGGAACATTCATCTTCGTCGCGGCTCATTTCCAAGAAGCCTGCCATATAGAGCCGGAGCTTCCTTTTCTAAGAGAACTCGAGCTGGTTCTCGGCTCGAATGAAGTGGAAGACGCGCCCCGGTGCTTCGACTCTCGCGAGATGCTATATTGAATACTGGATCTCATGAGATCGGTGCCCATGAAATCGTTGCTGACATCGCGAGTGTTTCTAACTCTGCGCGAGGTTTTCGGACGATTGCGGTCTGATAGGTAACGACGAGGGCCAGAGCGGCGTGAACACTCCCTCCGGGCGATTCTAATGTTGGAAGATTCTGAATCAGAGAAAGACGCCTGACTTCAAACTAAGCGGAGTGTGTCACGCGGATCTCCTCTCCTCGTCGCCCGGGCTCCCGTGACCGTCCTTGTCTGAAGCTCAAGCGAATCATGATTCACGCTGACTTACCGCCGGTGAAGAGATGAGCGAGAGAAAGATCACTGGCGCGTAGAGCACGGAAACAGAACTCCAGTCGCATATACTTATCGATTGGATCTCAGGCGAGGGATACTCGAAACCACGCGAGTCATCGAGAAGATGTGATTCGAAGGCGGGGAATATCCGCGGCTGGCAAATACAGTGAACTGCGCTCAATTGGAACACCGGTTCAAGGCATTCTCCGCTCACTCGAATCGCCCCCAGAGAGTCCCGATCGAATAGGCCCCCTTGATTCCGGCCCCGGATAAGCGGATCCTTCGCTCATCCGCATCGAGATGGCCCGCTCCCGACGTGTTCCTACTGAGCTGAGTTTCATGTGAATTCCTGGGCTCCTGAACCTCGATCAGTCGATCCGATCGAAAGTGGCTCGGATTCAAAAATGACAATTTCTAGATAACGCTGGAGCAAGGCCATCAGTCAACGTCTGCCCAAACCCGGTTTTGATCATCCGGAGGTTCCCGGATTCGGAGGCTCCGACAACTGCCTCGGGGAATCCTCGAAGTCAGGAGCACGTCTCGTGTGTCTTTAAGGCTGTGTTTCATCCCCGTAGGGGAATCTTAGGAGCTATCGTAGAACCCGCATGTCACGTTGAGATGGCGGTACTCACCTTGGGGATATTTCGTGGAATGCTTCTCGCAACTGCTCCGAAAAATCGGGTAACTGCACGTCGAACGATCGGAGGCGAGAACGTACCGTCCCGTAATGCCGATTCGACATCGTACTCGTGAGGTCAGGTATCCGGAAATGGAAGCATCACTGCTTGGAATTCTTGACTGGCTAGGCTGACTGGGAGCTGGGACGTTGCTCATTCGCCGATCACAACGCTTGGAATAGACTCAGGATAATGCTCAAGTCCACCAGCGAAAGCGAGTATATTCCAGCGCCGGAAGTTCCTCCCGCGCGCTTTTCTGTGCCCGAGACCTTCAAAACCCCTCCCTCGTTGCTTCGAAGGGATTCGATTAAGAGTCGCGATGATTCTGTCCGAGGCAAATTTCGATTCGCTTGAGATCACCGATCGGTCATCTGGCAACTTTCTGCGGAAAATCTTCGCTGGTGCCGAAGTAGCGAAGTTTCCCGCTGAATATCCCCGACGAACATGGCTCGCTGTCCATCGTTCACGATGTCCTATGGTTTATGTTTCGCATTCACTCCGAATTCCTGCGAGAGTTGGGATTTCTCCCATCCCGCAAGTGGCGAATGAGGGATATCCGAGCTTCCGAAGCAGAGTAGGTCTCGGTCGTCCCGACCGGACGGGTGTCTCTCGTGAGTCGTGAGCAAGGGCGAAGATAGCGATGCATCCGTCTCTGTGAGGAGAGCGAACTTGACATCTGGAGAGAGTTCGTGATCATTTAGGCAAGGGATGAGATCTTCTATATCCAGCCGGCGGATCTATCACCGAAGAGTTGGGGGTTTCTCTGTCCTTCCACCCGAACCACGTTTGCGTATCATCGCGCTCGCTCCATAGGAACATTCGCTCGAAGCCCCACGATTCGCATCTGTGCAGCGACATACACAAACGGAGAGCCAGTCGCCGTAGTCGTCGTCAAGCAGAGCGGCGTCCGAACGCTCGCGCACCCTATCGCTCCCTCCCACTCTAACTGATTTGCTCGCTCTCCCGCTTGCCATGGACTGACGCACTACAGCTGTGGCAGCAGCGGCGGCGGCACCACCATATGTACAATCCTCTTTCTCCACTAAACACGGCTCGGACAAGTGCCCGCCGCCTCTCGATCGCAATGTGATATGGCGGATGGCCTACGCCAGTCACCGTTAGAGCGGTCAGTCGGTCGGGCGCACACCGCACCACCGCGAGAGTACGGCGGCGGCGGCCCTCCATGATGCGCGAGGCCGTTTTCCGGAAACGCCGAGAACATGCCCCCTGATACAGTAGAGCCCGCTCATTAGGAACCTGATTTAAAGAGAAAACCGGGAATAAGAAACCGATCTCGATTTTCCGAAATCTCTCCATAGGGCTCCATGTTGGAACCTCGCCCATAAGGGCCCGGATATGAAAGGGAAGCGGACACAAGAGACAATTTCCCGGGACCGGCTCCATAAATTCCCACGTAGGAGACCTCGCACAAAGGGAAGAGAGAACTGGGTCCCGCAGAATTAATTAGCTCTCCTCGCATCAACCTGACAATCACCAGCTCTTTCAGAGCGTGGAGTCCGTCGAGTCTCGCTTGTCGTTAGAATATCACCCATACTGAGTCCCGGCATGCCAATTCGGTAGAGGCTCTCGGAAGCGAACAAAATCCAAATGTTGGATTTGTTGAAGACGAAATTCACCGGAAATAGCGCCGAGACATTGTGCATTGGCATCGGAGCAAATTTTTATTTCAGAATGAAGGAGAGCAAGGCTCGGACCCGGAGCTCCAACAGTGATGGGAGCGATTCCAAACGAGAGAGTAATCCTGAGTGTACGTTCGGATACCCAAATGAAAGTGTTCTCCCACGGCTCACCCAGATCGGTCAGCAAGGGGCTTCCGTAAGTGGTCCATCGATAGAGTGGGAAGCCGAGAAAAGATCGAAGGGGTTAGGTGGACTATGGATTTAGGTGAACCGAAGGTTTGCTGCACAGCTCCGGAGGAAAGGTTCGACTCGAGGTTTTTCGGGTTTTTCCGAAGAGCGAGCTGCTGCAGATGAGAAATCGGCAAGAGAATGAATGAAGCCAAATCATCTATCGGTCATCGATGGGTGCGAGCAAGAACGGACTTCCAACACAGACATCACTGCTCTGTCTGCCAAGCCACCCAGGCTCCCCACAATGACCAACCTAGAGATTCCAGCTCTATGTGTCTCCGCCTATAGTGACTACTGATATCGGGAAACGTATTCGAGGTTGGCGGAGACTTCCGCCGTCGGCTATTGATTCCTCCCTTCCAGAGCGCCGAACTCCAACACCTAGCGGACATCGATTTCTGCCTCATTTCCATTACTCGGCTCATTCGATCTCTCAGAGATTTGCTCTGTAGTGGCCGCTGTTAGGATAAGGGGGGCCTGATTCCGATATTCACCCACGACGAACTTCAAACAATTTTCAGCCACGAATCGTCCTCCCAGCTCGAATCCGACTAGAGAGCAAGGATCAGGAAATCCCCATGAGAACCTATTTTCGATGGTATGAAAACTGCTCCGAACTTTAGATGGGAACGGGGTGGAGTATAGCCCCCGAACTTCCGCTGTGTACCCCCGTGGGCGAGCTACATCCGGTTGAGATCGAATGTGATCCGAGTTCACTACAGAAAGGCCGCTCAGGAACCCAGAGATCAAAAAAAGAAATTGGTGGGACTGATGACCCGAAGCTCACTTTCAGTGGACACTGAAACCTTCGAAAAATTCAAGCGACAACGTGTCCCCACGTAGACTCTGATTATCGCTTCATCATCCTCCAAGATTCCAGCTCTCTCGGGACCTCGTGAAGGAAAAGTGAAACCGGAAATGCGTTTCGAAGTTTCCCCCCCCTCTTCGAGTAGTCTTCGTGGAATCGATTCAAGAGGGGAGGGCTACTGGGAGTTACCGGGAGCGCTCGGTGATCGTATGCTGATACACCTGGCTTCGGATTGTAGCTTAGAATGAGGACGGAAGCAATCGGGGAGCCTGGGGAATGGGATCTCCACTCGAGGCATCGGAGTTTACGGTCCAGTTTTTTTCGAAATTCAAGTTCGAACTTGGCGTAGACGTCAATCTTCTTCGTTCGGGGCAAGCCGTGTTCCTCCGCTTCGACCTCTATGAAATGAGGGAAATTCGTGTCGGTAAGTTCACATCAGAAATCTCAACAAGCTCAACCTTCCACAAGCAGCGACCGAATTTTCATCGGCGCCGGTTCGCGACCGGCTCTTGAGTCTGGAGCGAGGAAAATCATCCAATGATCCCCGAGCCGCAGAAGAATAGAACGAGTGAGAGAGAGAAGAGCTTTCAGATTCTAGGGAGATATTTCCCTACTCTGTGAAACCGATATGCTTAATGACGAAGTAACGTTGAGAGAACGAGGCTCTCGATTAGCCGCGAAAATCGTGGAGGGGTCTTCCGGCAGGCAGTATCACAGAAAAACGAGCATACCTCCGCGAAGTTGCGCCGGCGGATCGAGCTAGACCCCAAAAGGGACGTATTTCATAGCTTTCCACGGCGACGCGACATGGTCGGCCAGTCGTGGACATACATTCAAGCCGCTATCTTCGACCTGAATCCAAATCGGAAACAATTCCAAGAAACGGCTGACCCTGTTCGGGACACAGTCTGGAATGGCACGTCACCCGTGAGTGGGAGAATGTGGAGGCTCATATGTGAGCACCAGGCAGAAAAATGTAGGCTGCTAGTTATGAATGAGAGCGGCCTTGAACAACGAGCTCCGGAAATGACGGCTGACCCTACCCGAGCAGCAATGGTCTTGCTCGATACCAACTCCGTGATACTCAAGCGCTCAGGCACGAACTTTACTCCAGACCACTGTTGAAACTAGTCACAAACGGCGCGGAATTCACATGCAGATTACAAGATGATGACGAGAAAGGCCCCTCACAACACAGTATACCTACTTCATAAACAAATGGAAAAAAGAGAAATCGCGATCCGGTCGTACCCCAGTAAGCCTACCTCTCAACCTTTATCCGTACTCGGTTCCGTTCACTTGATGCCACCATGTTTCTATTATGTAGCCTGGCGAAACAGCAGATACTTACTCATCACATGTTAAGCTCGCAACCCGCCGGCTGCCCCGCGTTCACATCTCTGCCGTTTTCTATGGACTTCTAACTAAGTAAGATTACCCGGGAAATCTGAAGGAACGGACGTCCCACCAAGTCACGGCGAAAAATTGCGCCCCCTGGAACATATGAACCCAAAAGCACTTATTCCTTTCACGCATAGGGGGGACAAGGAATGGCCGAGAATGACTTCCTCAAAAAAGGAAACGAATGCGCCGTTGCAGAGAGATACTGACTCAAGGGCAAGCTGTGCTAGCTCGTGCTCTTGACACTCCACGACGTAGGCAAGCAAGAGCCACCGAGAGACGGGCCCGGGTCCTCCAAGGATCCGGTCAGCTTACCGCGAAGAAGGCAGACGGATGGTTTCGCCCCAGACAGACAGATCCCCCAACAGAGGCGCGAGCGATTCGCAGCAACGCCATTTCCGCGAGCCTGCTCTTCATGAATGGTGGGCGACGAAGAACAGCAGGAGCACAACAAGGTGCACTGGAGGCCGGGAACTCGCGTGCCGCCAACGCAGCTCGGCATCGCCGGGCGCGGGCATATCAGACCACAGCAGAACGTAGGGGAGCGGCCCCTATCGCTTCCGTGTACGGCCAAGTTTCTCAGTGCGCGCAAGTCCTCATCATGGACACAGAGGAGGCTTCGAGAGAATCGGCCGCCCGTCCCGTCAACCGAAGTTGCCAACGGTCTATACTCCAAACTCTCCGCAACATCCTCAAGGGGGTAATCCATAGCTAAGGTCGTTCAGACTCATGGCTCTGGTAGCTGATGATGAAGGTCAACGAGCGCGGAGTGACAGCTTTCTCCCTAGACAGGTGCGAATGGTTTTCGAACAAAATTCAGCGGACGACCAGCGACGGCAAGACGCTGCGACCGCCAACGAGGTTCTGATTGTCCTGGTAAGCCTTCACGAGATTAGTGGAACGCTCAAGACTCTCAGCTACCCGCATCAGCTTCGCGATCAACTGACTTATTCTTTTTCTTTCGTGGAACGTCTGAACCCGTCATCAGACCGCCGAACTAGAGTTACTCAGAAAGAATATTTGCTTTTCGCTCGAGGCCACGAGCTCGGCCCTCTCCACCACGACGGCAAACTAAGTCGACAGTTCATCGCTGACGGCTGGCTGAACATTGAGATGAACCGACTTGATTCATTCGCCGAAATCGATAATGGCTTCGACCCGAGACTCTATACCGTGGACTCCGAAATCACATGTTAAGCAACCATGACGCGGAACCGGCAGATCGGCAAATCATCCTCGCAACCTTTTTCGGTGGAGGTCGCAGATACACGATAGCTACCACAATACCAGTACACGATGAGCATTGTGTCGAAGTATAGCAAACCAGACTTATTTCCCACCTTCACTTGCGATCCCCCTTGGCCAAAGATAACCATCATCTTCGACCGCGCAGGACTGCGCCCGACCGCCCTGACTTGGCAGCGCACATATTCCTTCTGAAGGTCAGAGCTTTCCGCAATGAAGTTCTCAAGGAACAAAAGCTCGGAGGAATCCGAAGAGCCTACTCCGAAGTTCTCCCGTCGCTCTGATCTAATTCGGTGATTTCCAACCCACCTTCCTTGAGCACTTTCGGCTCGAGTTCGAGGCACAATTCATGGAGGACTGCAGGCTGGATACTCCGACGCCTCAGCCGGCTCGAAAGCCTTTTACGACATCGCTCAGAGACTTTTCAATGCTCAATTTCGAATTTTTTAACTCAACGATGTCACTACTCTGATCGACTCCGAGCATCATCGCTCTATCGGATCGATCATACACGCGCCGCTCAATCTCGAGCAGAGAATTATAGCCGTGTACTCGTCCCAAGAATATTGGCTCTCCATTGATTGTCCCGGTCGCTGTTGGGAAACTTTCGTATACGCATATACGACCATATTCAACCTCTTTTAGTCAGTTAGTTTTCCGAAGAGGCTGCTAAATTGCGAGCAACTAGTATTGTGATATCGCACCCTATATCGCTTCTTCAGCGGAGAGCAGCCTCAGCTCTAAGTCTCACCGGAGAAACAGAGAAAATCAGGCAGCTTCTCAAAAAAAAAAAGCCGTCAAGCTCGGCCTTGAGCCTCGTCCGCACCGTAGAGGGAGCAGAGCTTCGAGAGACGGAAGCCAAGGAACAAATCAATGAAACCGTTCATTTCTCAACAATGGGGATATTGGAATCCCAAAATCCTCCAAGATGGGAGTAAGGCCCTACTCTACCGTGATGATTCAGATGAGGATCAATTATTATCATTATCAACTCCAGCTTGACGTTCAACATAGTCCCATGAATGTCCGAGATCCCCCTTCAAAGAAATACTTGTCTTCTGCTTCCGAGAACTCAGCGATCTCTGTGATACCTCAGCGCACCGAGCTGTTAAGGCGCGGCCGTGGAGTGGTCTCGATGTCAGAGGCAATGCCAGGCTCAGAAGTCAGTCTAGTGGGTCTCAATGTCTACGGCGAGAAGTCAGTCTAGTAGGTCTCAATGTCTACGGCGAGAAGTCAGTCTAGTAGGTCTCAATGTCAAAGACAAAACCAGGCTCTGAAGTCAGAATTGGTGTCAGAGTCCCGCCTGGGATGCTTGGATTTGGAGCTGTTGTGATCGCAGAGCGGACCTGACGTCGAGCGACTGAGGAAACAGAGAGCCGCAGTACAGAACAGGCACAAGACTCAGCAATCGAAAGCAGATCAATTATTCAATCATTCCCGGGCATCATTTGCATCAACCATCAAGGAACCGAGTCATTGGAGTCAGCAATGTCTTTATTAGCATCTTCGGGAAGACTGCGGAGTGCGTCGTCGGAACGGAGAACCGCCCAACTTTGATCGTGTTTCAGGGAGAGATCATCCACAGCATTCAGTCCGGGGTCTCGTAGAGAAAGACAGATTTCATTCTCCTCGCTCAAAGTTAAACCGCCGTTCAATCGCCCTGCCGTTCTAGCGAATTCCATGCAGTCGTCAGAACAATCAAAACAATTACTGAACAACATTCTTCATCATTCAACAGTGGAGTTCGAGGCAGGATTCAAGCGTCCATGGACCGCCATGGAGCTTTATGCAAGTGAGTCAAGTCGGAAGTCAGAGTACTGCGGAAAACGTCAACTCAACATCCGTGAACTGTGTTATGGGGACTACGACCAGCTGTTCCAGAGTTCGTTTACGGAGCAGTTCCTTCTTCCCACTGGTGAACCCTCTCTTCGCGTGCTTTGTTTGCTTTGCCGTGGAGTTTCGAGATCATCGTCGAGTGTTTATTCTGTCAGAGGCATCTAAGATCGAATCAGTGGCTCCGTGTCCCTACGGTATAAGTTATCTTACCGTATGACCCGTATGATCAACTGTCAGACGGTGGACACTCTTGCCCTCGGGTAGGAACGGATCGAGGGGCGTCGATTCGCTAAGATCGTCCGGAGAATAATTCCCATATTCCCCAAACTTGTGTCAGAGCTCTCAAGACGTAAACTGGAAACCCATGTCGATCTTCAATGCGAATTATCACTTGTTCGTTTGGGGTGTAGGTACGCTGAAATCAATCAGGCTATTCTTATTCTTCCAAGACGATGAGCTCCCCCTTTCCCGGTGCGATGATCGAAAGCGAAATAACATCCGGAGATTGCGGGGGCGTAAAGCATTACTGACGCCACCATCACTCCAGGTACGATGGCGAATGAGCCCGGTTTCATTGAATACGCGGAATTCCCTGATGGCAATGATCCAGTCTGGTTTCTGGGGAAAAAATTTGAGCTCAAAGAAGGTGAGTCAGAAGAAGGGTGCACAACAAGAGAATATCGATGGAAAGTCTTGGTCCTTCTCCCTACGAACGATGGAACGTGCACTCGGAAGATGAGAATTGCCCATGCTTTTTCCAGAAGCGGATTTCGAGTACGTCCGGAAGTCATTTTCATCTATGCTCTGGTTCACATATCGAAAAAACTTCGCCGCCATAGGCGGTGACGGCCCCACGTCAGACACTGGATGGGGGTGCATGTTGCGAGCTGGTCAAATGATGCTCGGGCAAGCTCTCATTCGGAAGCACCTTGGACGCTGTACGTTCACTTTGGATAGGAGAGATCGCGACGACTATGAAAAAAATATGAATGGAACCTCGGACGAGGACTCGGGAGGAGGACTCAGAGGAAGTGTAGAGGAATAACTCAACCTCCATTTCCAGCTTGGATGTGGACTTCTGATGACAGGCTCCCCGACCGCGAAAACTATCTGAGAATATTGCGCATGTTCCAAGACAAGAAGTCGGCCACTTTCTCGATACATCAGATTTCGCTCATGGGCCTCAGTGAAGGCAAGGCTGTCGGCGAATGGTTCGGACCTAATACAGTCGCGCAAGCTCTGAAGAAGCTCGTGCAGTACGATCATTGGAGCGAAATGAAACTACACGTCGCCATGGACAACATAATTATACTGAGCGACATCAGTGAGTGTCCTGATAGATATACAGCCGCCCATTCGGGAAGAATTCATCCCATCGACCGCGATTCATTGTCATACCGCTTCTTACAGAGAGCTTGTGCTGCGCGAAAGAAAGCAATAAATGGAGACCCCTTCTGTTGGTCGTTCCGCTCCGATTAGGACTCTCGGAAATCAACGACATATATACCAACGCCGTTCTGAACTCCTTCAAAATGAAGCACAGCCTCGGTATCATCGGCGGGCGACCTAGCCACGCTCTTTACTTCATAGGCATTCAGCGGGAGGAACTGGTGTTCCTCGATCCCCACACAACGCACAATTACGTTGACCTAGATGAGGAGCCCTACAACGACAGCACCTACCACTGTCAACGAGCTCAACGCATGAAAATCTCTAATATGGATCCGTCGATAGCCATGGTTAGTACCTAATCGACGACTGCTCTCTCGGGATCGGGAACTCGCTTGACCCGCCATCGCACAGCTTTCGTGCGTGTCGTATCTTGGCATTAAATTCAGCTCCATTGAAGTGCTCCTGTTGATTCGCAGTGTTTCTACATTGGTGACGAGGATGAGCTGGACCAGTGGCGCGTCCAGGCCAAGGAACTGCTTGTGGACAACTCAGGTCACATGTTATTCGAAATCACCGATGTTCCCTTGAGCTGGTCATGTGATATCAGCAGCGAAATGAACACGGAGGATGCCGGGCCCTCCAAGAGCTACACTTCGGATGAAGAATTCGAACTTCTCTAATTGTAAGCAGCGTGAGGTCGTGAGATTGTGTGCCCCGAGCGGCCGACAGGCACCTCCGCTCGAAGAGCACGGCGAGGGCCCACGGGGAACGAGAGTACGGGCCGGGAAGACAGACGCCCGTTCGACTGGATGTAGAAACCTCGACATGCGTTTCTTGTACGTTAGGTTTTGGAATTTCTTGTAAAATGTGTGAATGATACCGATGGAGCGCCTAATCTCTACTGCAACCTGCTGCCGTTCAGGGGTCGACTCGCAGAGTTCTCATTCATGAAAGGACGTTCGCGGAACGGACCGGGATCTTGTAATAAACGAGCGCTAATTTTTCTGACTCCCGCACTCTCGATTCCGCTTCCGGCATAGCGGATCGCCGTCAATTATGACATCGAATGGTATACGTAATTATCATATTTGGTTTATTCATAGATTCCCATCCTCTCTCATCATGTTCATTTTTCCTTCAACTTATACTCATCTTCGTCATCTTGTTCGCAAATCGATTGCGGCTTCCGTCTCCTACGCCAAGCTGACGCAGTGCTGGCGGGTTATGCGACTGCCGTTCACGTCCAGGGTCTCTGACAATCGATCTCACGATCTCGATCGTCCAGTCAAGCTTCCGACTCAGCCCTCGCTCCGGCGGAATATCCTCACAACGTCAGAGCCGACCCATGATCCTGGTGCTGCAACTGCCGGGACTACGAGAGCGGCAGCGCAGGACGGTGCGTATGACTGCCGCTGCCGCCAGCGCGCACGCAGCATCGTCGACTCCGTTTATTCGTGCACCAACGTTCCGGACCGCTGTACGTGGTTAAGATGAAGCGTGGAACTCCGTCCGAGAGCAGATGGGGCTCCAGAAGATGTCCGTCACAGAAATCACTTTCTCGAGCTTAGAGCTTTCTCCCTTCCGCGCTGATCTTCATCGAATCTTACCTAGCAATTTCGTATTCGGCGAGGAGATTGTTGCGTGTCTCTTTTTCTATAATCGCTCATTTATAGGACTGCCGTTTTTCTCTCAGCGATTCGTCGACGAGGGAGCGAGCCAGATCTGCCGTTCCGGGCTCCATGGGCGCCCGAGCGGTAGCAGCTTCTGGCGGTGCCGACCGGTGACCAACAAAATGGAAGTCGACGCGGCAAGGATATCTCGGAGTACAGGGAGCGTAATGTGGGTGGGGCATTTTCCCATCGAGGTTCGGTGACTACGCCAATGAGAAAACGAATGGGGGCGTCAAGAACCGAGGTCCGATCTATTGAACGAAAAAAAATGTTCGGCGTCCATAGTTGAGGCATTGTGGTCGTCACCGCAAGAAGACATCACCATTTCCATTTCCAGCCTCGGGCTCCGGCTAAAGATCCGAGCCCGGAGCCGACTCTGGTGACAGATGGCTCTATCCAAAGCAGCTGCTCGTGTCGGTGCGAAGGCATCTTGCATTTAGTTGTTGTTGTTGTGTTTGTCATCTCTTTCGGAACAAAACCCTGCTATGCATCAACTTCACGTAGTCAAGATCAATCTACTCTTTATATACAGAACCAGTGCCACTTGATTCGGATGATCGTCGAACTTTGCCCTCATAGACTTTTTCATCACGTGGTTTCGCAGCCCCGAATATTTTCGACCTCGTCGACGTATCGGCTATATCGGCGACAGGCGCAGCAACTGTCCTCGGGGCGAGCTTGAGTTTCGGTCTCAGCTCGGAATCCTCACGAGTGGGCTCCTTGAACTCTCCTTGTCTGGCGAAGTTGTCGGGCGGTCCATTGTTTCGCCGTTGGTCGCGGCGCATACCCCAGGCAGGACCTGCAATGAGAGGCGTTCGATGAGAGCTCTAGGGAAGTACTCCTTCGGATCTATCCACTCAGCCCAATAATTTCTCACATCGGTCTCTAATCACCTTGGAAGTCTCTACTGGCGGCCATGTCGCCTCTGAAGTTGTCTCGGGAGCCTCCGAAATTGTCTCTGAATCCACCATTGCCCCCTCGACCTTGAAGTCTGTCCCCATAGCCACCTTGATTGAATCCTTGGTTGTCTCTGTTTGGGGGTCTGTTGTCTTGGAAGCCTCTGCGATCGCCTCCGCGTCCTCCACGGTTTCCTCCGCGATCGTTCCTCCGACCATCGGCTATGTCGACTTTAATAACTTTCCCATTGACTTGGGCCTCGTCGTAATCAAGAGCTCGCTCCAAGGTATCTCTGCTGTCGAACTCAACATAACAATAGCCCTGGAGGAAAGCACGATTTGAGAGCTTGAGCCCGAAAGAATCAAGTCTTCGAATGTCGAACTTGGAATTTTCGGCGCGCCCCTCTAGGGAGTCAGAGCTCATTGTGAGGTTCGAGCTCTGGTGGGTCTGAGGTTCTATGAGAATAGCTCACCTTGAAACGATCGGTTTCCTTGTCTCTCACCAATCTGATGGAGCGGATATTGAGTCCGTTGAAAATTTCATCGATGTCAGCTTGCACCACTCTCTCTGGTAGATTTCCCACATACGCTGTGTAGGGAGGCTCCTCCGGCAGAGGCTTCCGGCCTCCAGCTCGACCAAATCTGGAATCATACGTCATCACGACGGGTTAGAAGGCGACAGCCGATTCGTGTAGACACCGAGCTCTCCTGCACATTCGATCAGCCGCGGGAGTCCGTGAAACTACTCCGGCTCCCTAAAACTACTCCGGATTCGAATTCTTCCCCCGATCGGGATACGGCCGAGTATTCGAAAGGGGGCTCATGTACGATTGAGTCGAAATTCGGAACTGTAGCGGTTCAGGTGCTATGCCGCACGTGTTTCCCGCTCTTGACTGTGGGAAGGCGCCATGAACGGCCCAGAGCCCCAGCCTTCAGCGTGACTCGAACGCCGACTCGTGATAGAGCCAGCCGCTAATTTGCTCTCAGCGACCGAGTCACTCCCAGTAAATGGGGATGACTCGTGGGCAGTGTGCGGCACGCTAGATCGCGCGCCTAAGGATTGGCGCCGGCGATTCCGAACACCGACCGAGAGGGTTCCAAGCTAAGCGAGGTGCCGAGGAGACCGTAGCGTCGCTTCATGAGGGCTTTTCGCGCAAGCAACGAATTCCGGGCTCTGCGATTGTGGCTCGTAGGTGCGGGGTCACCGAAAGCACATTGTTCGCTTAGGAGAAAACTTTGAATCACGGGATTTTCTCCGAAAATAAGCAAAATTTCGCCACCAGCGGTTCTACCTCGAAAAGTTGTCCGCCATCTTGTAAACACGATGCCTCGGTCGCACGCGGCCTATAGAGCGGCAGATCTGACCGCATCGGCTCTAACCGGGAGAGGATATTCTTTGAACGGCTGGCGCGCACTCGGAGGCGCCGGCCGGCGCCGACCAAAGAACCAATCCCTTGTATAATAGAATGGCCTCGGGTGTCCTCAACGAGGTTTTCGGTTGTATCACAATTTCACTTGCCTGATTCTGCAGGATAGCCCTTCAGAATCAAGTTTCGTCCGGGATCAAGCGGCAAGAAATTAGGGGGCTTTCTCTCATAGTCGGGCATCCGTCGAACCTGCTCCTCGAGCAGAGAAAATAGGGAGTTTCATCTCGACTCGGAAACGCGATCGGTTCGGGTGGGCTTCTGGAGCGACATTTCCAGAGAGCTCCACGGACGGGTGACAACTGCGTCGAAGTCAACATATTTTCAGCTGACAAGACCTCCAAGGAAACCGAACCGGGGAGGAATTCTCTTAGCGAACACCGAGTGCCGATGCGAAACGTGCACTCTTTTGGGTATTTCGTCATGTCATCCTTACTCCGCCACAAAAACCGTTGGGTCTGTTTTCTAGGGGACGGGTCGCTCTCCAGAATTGAAGAGGGGCTCATTCCCATGCTTCATCTTCATTCGACTCCTCGATCTCTTGACGCTGGGTGGCCGGGGCTCGCAAAGGCTTGAAGCCCCGGCCGTAGACACCATCAGGAAGAGCACGCCGCGAACGCAATCGCAATCCGGACTATCGCTCCCGTGAGACACTCTTTATCGACATCGGTCTCTCTGGAACCTGGATGCGATCGTTATATAGCGCCCGCCTGGTCGGTGTGATTGGGAGACTTCCTTCAGACCTGCCGGTTCCATTCTCGAGAACGATCGGGGCGCATTACTCGTGGCGTCGATCTCGGGGCAAAGCGGAGCAGTCCTTGATCGGCATGTGTCTACGATCGGTTAAGTCTCCAATCTTGTTCACGGTCGTCGACTTCGAAAGCTCTGAGTAAGTCGAGTTCTCCCTGAGAATGAGAACCTGAAGGTCTTGTCTGTATACCGCGCTGTAAGTTTTTCTAGACTTCCCCGCGAATTGCCATCATCCCTTCAGATATTCAGCAGTCTCGCAAGACTCCACACGAACGCATAGATTTTCGAGCTCACAGTGGGAGATTAAGCGGGGCTATTGCTCTGATGATGATATGGGGTTTCACCGGAGTCATTTTCCTGCCAGAGTAGTCTCAGATGTTCTGAAGGACCCTGCGCGCTAGAACCTTCAAACATACTTCGCGCATAGGTCCATAGATTTGCAGGGAGCTCGGGAGATACCCACAGCGTAGACTGCGTATTGAATGGTCGATGAATTCGGCATCAAGAAATCTGTCAGTTGAAACAGACGAAAGCCGCGTCCCGAGGTCGAGCTTCCAGCACAGATCATCAGCTTGATCGCCTCCGTCGGGATAATTATATGGTGCCAATAAAATACTTTCCGAACATGTTCCCAATTCTCCCACCCGATCCCATCACGGCTCGCGAGACTCCGGGGAAATGAATAAACGTGAACCTATCTAAACCGAAACTTAAAGGATACAAGTTTTTCGAGCGCGTCGGCGTCTGTCGGCTGCTACATCTCTCCGTCGAGGGGTGAGAGTGAGAGAGAAGAGAAGCGCTTTTGTGTTGATAAACAAGCGGACAGTGTGTATCCTGGGCAGGCGCAAAATTTCGGCTGTGTCGACGTTGAGCCATCTTGCGGTCACCTTCGGTGTGTGTAGTTTCGACCGAAATTTCCAGTATCTGTCCGGAAGCTTCAGACGCCCTTCGACGCTATGGGTTTCGGCGATTACCCCCTGGAGTATAATCGTAATGTTCACGGACCATACGATCCGAGTCGTTATTACGGGAAGCGTAAGTATCAGAGGAGCTTCATGACTTACTCACTCGCAACCACAAGGTCGATATTTGGAGCTCGGCATCGAGCTCGACGGTCTTCTGTGGAAAGATTTTCCGAGCTGGAACCCCTTCCGAGAGACTCATTCGGGGAAGGGGTTTTCCCTTGCAAGACTCCGGGACGCTTCGGAGATTACGGTTTTAGGATAATTGCGATTTCTGGAAGCGTTGACGGAGTCCTCAGCTCTCGGGAACGACACACGGCTCGGTCGACATGGCAGCCGGAGCTCGATTTGATATTCACCTCCCTTAGCCACTTGCTGGTTGAATTTGAAGATTGTCCCTCGCGTCATCGGATACAGCTTTCATGAAAAGGTCACATAGGGGCAATGGAATGAACGTCGGGAAACTCGTTTTGGGAAACTCTCGAATTCGCTCCGAGACACTGCAGCGAGACTCATCGAGTTGGAACAATGTTGCCGCAGGATAATCGGGGGATCACTCTTCGTGAAGCCCGATCGAACATCGCGGGCTCTGACTGCATGAAGGGGTCGTCCTGCGAACGAGCACCACCCTGAGCCGGGGAGCCTGATAGTTGAAGTTTTATGCACGCGAGCTCGTTTCCGGGAGGATTGTCTACGAAGTCTTGACTGTTTCTTTTCAGCGGACACCAAGTTCAGTGACCTCAAACTTTCTGAAATACCCGCATGGATAGGACGGCGTAATAAGAGTCCGCAAGCGGCGGCATCGATGATTTCCCGTGCTTATTGGAGGTGGCAAATCAAGTATCTGCTACCCAGGCGGGCGACTCCGGCTCCTTACTATCAATTCATCGTTGGGTCTATGCTCCTCTTCTACTACATCAACCATCATAGATTGGCTGAGCACACGCGATACAAATATCACTAAGAATTCGAACAAGCTGACCGATGACAGAGCTGCAAAATCTTGTGTAGGGCACTATTCATGCCCCGTCGAAGAGAGATATAAAAAGCTCGGAGATGTTTTAGTCGTAGACTCAATGTTCTCAATGGTTTCGGAAGAGGATTCATTGGAAAGTCAGCGGACAGAACGACTCCTGGTTCGCTGTTCGGAAGCTTGGGAAGAATCTTTTCGGGATCTAATCGCTTTATTCGGAATAGGAACAGCTCGAGTGAAATGTGCGGAATATACAACAGGCCTGAGCGAGGTCGATTCGGAGGACTTCAGCCGCTTGGAAATATGCGTCCAGCTCCACGAAACGACTACCTCAGGATAAAGTCCGAGGAGTTCTGAAAAATGATACGACTGTCCCATGGCTGAAGGTCCCTTTTCGCATCAGTAGGCTCCCGATGTGGCGATATACTCAAGAACTTGAGTTTTCGTGAAGGACGAATAACTGAGTTCACCTTACAAAGCCGAGTTCAATGAGCTACTCAACGAGTATCGAAATCCGGAGCGAGAAACGAATCATTTCATCCGGTCGTCCGACGGTATAGAGGGTCCAAATGTTGTAACGGAGTGTGGCGGCCGAAATTCACAACTCTCCTGCTTCGGCCCCATTGCCGCAGGCAAAAATGTGCGTGCTTATTTTGAACACGAAGACCTCCGCCGAATTTGTCGGTCTCTCCTGTCCCACACCTTCGATATCGACTCATGACGGATCGGTTCCTACAGTCGGAGTACGTATTTGACGGCACGGCTCCGCTTTCAGAGTATTATCATCATTCATCGAGGTGTTCCCTTTGCGCTTCCCTTTTTGAGCGATAAAGTTCGGTCATTTGTGGTGACTCTAAGTCGTCGAGGCTCACATTGGACCGAGAACGGTCAGACTGAATTTAGCCCATCGATTATGACTATGGCTATCCAATAGATCCACATTCTTCCTAAGTATTGCCGTATTGGAAAGGCGCCATCATCTGATTCTTGGAGCTCTGAGCGACTGTGGAGCCGCCAGGCAAGCATGTTTGCATGGCAATCTCGTTATCATCGAGATACCAAACAGTGATTGCAAATCGCATCTTTTGCGCGGGAAGCACCTGGAAGGCGAGCAGAAACCAGTCAGGGACGATCAGCTCCTCCCAGCCGCGGGGCACCGCATGATCCAAGTCGGTTCTGTGCTCTATGGCTTATGACTCGATGAATTAGTTTCCGGTAATGAGGATTGGCATGTGGAGTTACCTCGTGAGGATTGCGTCGATCAGACCAGAACATAACGAGCCGGTCGAGAATTGGTTCCACGCTGGCGACATGGTTCCTGTGATTTTCGGGGAAAATGCGGAGCAGCCCTCCGTCCCGCTCCCCGTTCCAATCCTTGTTGACGTAATAGATGCACGTGATTTTCCGACCGTCGAAGTTTGGATTGTCGACGTGTTTCACGTACCTGGAAAGCTACTTGTCGAGCATCCGCGCAGAACCCATGAAGATCGAGGATGTACACGGAACCCCGAGAGTCCATGCTTGCAATCCTGCCTATGGGATTACCTGCTCCCTCCTCCGGGATAACAAGCCAGCATTGCTTTTGTGCGTTGTGTTATTCGGTACAGCCCCATTTCTCCAGCGGAGTTCGTGTGAGCGACGCACCGGGCCACGATCGAGTCCAATGACCTAATCAGGAAGCGAATGTTGTTGCAGTAAGGTTCGGTGCCTTCCAGCCAAGCGATGTGGTCACCGCGAACCATCACGCCCCCGCTGCCGGCTTCGTTGACAACTTGTCCCCGCTTCGAAAATTAAGAGTTTTTAGCCACGAGACGCTGTCGCTCCATTCGTATCCTCATCGGGAAGGACCCTCTTTCTCCTACACTCGGCGAGCACTCGCCGACCGCCGGGGGAAAAGACGACGCATGATCGGACACCTCCGAAAAGTCTTCCACTTACTTGGAACAAGCTCCTCTGACGATACAGCCGAACAACTTCGGCGTAGATTTCATTCGACCGATCGGACCCCAAGAAATTATCCACCACACAAACTCCGAAACTGTTCATATCGTACACAACCTGGAAGCACACAAAGCATGGTCGTGTATGGTCTTAATATATGTATGCTTGTAAATAACGCTTGACGATTCTCGGGTAGCCCGTAGCAAAGTATATTCATGTACGGCACCTGTACTTTCATCTGCTCCAGCCAGCTATCGTCGGGCGGGGGAATCGTGAGTTGTTTGCTGAGGCTGTCGATCCATTGGGTGTGATTGTTGCATAAGTCATTCACAATCGAACGCAACTCATCTTCACTCATCGGATCGCTCCCGTTCCGCTCATTCCCCCGAGTTTCATTATTCAGAGGCTGAAACGGTTTTCTCAGATCATTTCTGGGATTCCCGTTGGGGTCGGACGCGTCGTTCGGCCAGGATTAGACCTACCTTGAAGTCAGTGATCGGTTGCTGGCGGGATGCCTTGCAAACATGTTTATGAGCGGGCCAATGCTTCACTTGATGCTCTTTGCTGCAATACCTGCGAATTACGTTGAATGTCAAACCATCAGGCAGGATCTTTCTATCGCAACTCCGAACCCCGGATCCGAAGTGGTTCCCTCGCGACGGAGTTTCGAGCACCACCCTCAGTCAGCTTATTCGCCTCTCTCATCCAGGCGTATAATATGAAAGATTATTATTATTATCTACGCTCGCTTGCATATACCTATACATATATGCATTCAATCCCTTGAGTCAGACGCAAGGAGACAACAGCAGAGTCCAAATCCAAGCGTGATATACGCTCAGCATCTCCAGCCTTCCGTGTCTATCTCAAACTCCGTTCCAGAGTAGCTATTCATACCTCTTCTCGACGGGGAGATTCCCAGTACAGCGGATAGCTCCGCTAGAAAATTCGTCATGCCGAGATGATGCGAATCCGTGGTGGATGTAAAGTGCGTCCGACGTCTTCATTCTACCATAGGGAAACTGATACAAACTTCAAAAATATTACACAGCTAACGAAGAGAGAGCTCGCTCTTGGTGGATCCAGTCAGGAACTCAGATAGCGCCCGCCGCGGTGCAGATGCCAAGGGCTCGCCATGTTCGGAATCGATCACGGTCGAGCATCTCACAAATTATCACCAAGGCAAATTCTGCTGCAATCGGCTTACGCAGTTTCTACACCGCAGCGGATGACCATTCCCTATGACGTTTCTGATATTATCAAGTGTCAGTGTCGATCTTTGTACCGCGGCAAGTTATTCCAAAAAAAGACGGCTATGCTCGCGGAGGAAATAGCTCATCGGAAAAGACGATTCATTCATTGACGAAGAACAGCGTCCAGTGAAAAGGTTTTTTCTACCGATTTGTAAAATGTTCGAGGGCGAGGGCATGCATCATCGGAACAAAGAGCTCAGTCACAGTTTCTCAGGGCCTGATAATTTATTCGACAAATGTGTGTTTCTTCCGCTATCTCGAGGAGATAATGGCGCAACCTCCCGATGGATACTCCGCAGCACGATATAAGGAATGCTGAGCGTTAACGGAGGAAACGCCCTCCCTTCTAGTCGTATCGAGGGGGCTCGGGCTCTCTTATTATTATTATTATTATTCTTATTATCATCTCCGAAGCTCCGTCGGACACCGCGCGCTGATGTTGAAGGATTCGTCAGGCTGACATGAGTCTAAGAATGAGCACAGCGGCCTGGTCCGATGGGGTCAGACCACTGCGTTCCTTGTCAAGAAGACGAGTCAAGAAGATCATCCCCGTGGCCGCCTCAATCTTGCTCAATTTCTGGGGAAACCTCCTCCGCTTATCGGGGGGAATGGAATTCAAGAATTCTAGGAATTCGATCGATCCTTATTGGAGGGCATCAGCCAATGGCATACGGAGCGATAACTGTATGGGCGACCAGAGCGTCATTACCACAACCCTCTTGTACGCCAGGATCCTTCAAAAACGGTACGTTGATTCCTACGACCGCAAAGAAATACATACTCAGACACGTAATCTCTCGAGTCCACCAGATGCAGAATCGGGCGCGAAACTGTACGGCAGCTCTGACCGCCTAATCCCGAGTATTGATCACAAAGGACTCACCTCCTGAGCGCGGGGACTCTCCTGTCGGAGCCCAGCTTATCTACCGGACAGCTATCAACAGAAAACGATCATGGCACGTACCAGGC